TGCGCCCACCCCAGCTCCGGCAATGGGGGAAAAGTTGCAATATGTCACAACACGTCACGTGACGTTGCGAGTTTGACACTCCTATCTTAGAACTCTAGTTGGGGAATAGTTTTTATTTTATATTTTTAAAAAAGGTGATCATCAAATCACATCATTATTCATGACAACCTACTCCAGATGGTGTCTTAATAGTCTAGGCAAGGAGGTCTGGAGAACTATTTAAAGCCCCCCAAGATCTCTGCCACCTCCTGAGACACCCTGTGCTCTGCTCCTTGCCTCTCAGGGTCCCTGCAGGCCTCTGCCTTCTCCCAAGGGAGCCTAAAGTCGGGCAGCAGAAGCTGCTGGTGTGAGGGGGCTGTTATAGTTTGTAGGCCTCGGCCTGCTTCCCATCCAGCCACCTCAGGGACTTGCAGGATTCGGCCTGTTCCTCAGCCAGCTCCAGGGCCCAGCAGCACCCTATTTATCTTTCTGGGTTTTGCAGAGGCACCTGGCCGATACGATGCGAGGCTCAACTTTTTTACAGACTTATGGCCACCTCATGCCATTCTGCAAGCAGGTTACTATTCTTGTGAGCCTCTGGTGGAGGGGGGGTGAGGTCCGTTTTTTAAAGAAAGCTCCACAAATGAAACCTCCTTAAAAACAGAGCCCCTACAGACTTACGAGAATAGTACCTGCTTGGAGAATAGTACCTGCTTGGAGAATAGCACCTGCTTGGAGAATAGCACGAGGTTACCATGAGGCATCTTCTCTTAAGAAAGCTGAGCCTCACATCGCATCGTGTCCCTTAGCATTGGCTGGACTGTTATAGCCCCCTGTGCATCAGTAGCTTCTGCTACCCGGCTTTAGGCTCCCTTGAGTAGCTGAGTGGCCAGGTTGGGAACATGCCAAAGACCTGTGGGGAACCAGTGAGATGTGTGGAAGAGATAGTGAGGGGGCTGTGCAATGTCCTTGTCAGTCATAAGAGTGAAGAATCGCTAGGGCAATGCAACAGCTGCAACTTTAAGTCGGGTCGTTACATCTTTTTAATGAAGGACTGGACTTAACCTCTGTGAAGAATTACAGGCCAATTTCTCTTCTTAATAATGATTACAAACTTTTCACATCTATCTTAGCTGAAAGACTTTAAAAGGTTTTACAGGATTACATATATGAAGACCGGATTACATGTGATGTGGGGTTTTTTTTACCCAAAAGACAATTAAAAAACAATGTAAGAGCAATCTTGGATATAACCGAACATTTACAACAATGTAGAGACAAACAGGTCACATTAATTTTTCTAGATGCAGGAGAAAACTTTGATAATTTGAACTGGGGCTTCATGTTTAAAGTAATGGAAAGGATGGATTTTGGATTGGGCTTTATATAGAGTTTGAAATCCATTTATACATTCCAGACAGCTCGGATTATGGTGAATGGGGACTTAACAAAATCATGTGAAATCCAGAAAGGAACAGGACGGGTGTCTTTTATCCCTTTATTATTTTGGTGTTGAAACTGTTAAATAGGAATATTTAACAAAAGAGCAAAAGGATTACAAATTAAAGTGCACAACTATAAACTTTGTGCTTTTGCTGATGATTTGGTATTGATTGTGCAAGACCTGTTAAAGAATATTGAAGAAGATTAAACTATTTGGAGAAATGCCAGGCTTAAAAATAAAGAGAACAATATTGACTTAACAATATGAATGTGGAAGATCGCAAGAAATTGGAAATTAAAATTGGTTTTAAAGTTGTGAAAAAGGTAAAATATTTGGGAGTGATCCTTACAGACAAAAATTCTAAGTTATATTAAAAACCTATGTAAAAATGAAATAAAGTCGGATTTAAGCAGATGGCAAAACTCTAATTGCCATTAATGGTAAGAATTTCAGTAACTAAAATAAATATATTACCCTAGAGTATACCAATATTGATTAAAGATTCTTCTTTTAAACAGTGGCAGAAAGATATATCTAAATTCATTTGGCAAAATAAAAAACCAAGAATCAAATACAAGCTCTTACAGGATTCTAAAGAGAGAGGAGGTCTGGGTTTGCCAGATCTTAGATTATATTATGATGCTTGTTGTTTGGTATAGTTAAAAGATGGAATAACTCTAAATATCTCAAGATCGTTAGATTTGAGATTTGGGTAGCATGCCTATTTTTACTTTTACAAAGTAAAAGTTAACATTGGTTTTAAGAATCATTAGGCAATCGATTGGGCATGTATGGTGGAAATATAAAAGAAGATTGGCTGAAAAAGTGCCACTTTGGTTATAGAACATACATAGAACGGTAGGATGTAAATGGATGACATACTGGGACTTACTAACATTTGAAAAAAAGAAATTCAAGATAAAGACAAGAGAACACTTAGTAAGTGAAGGATTTGATGATTGGTTTAACTATTATAGAAGTTTTGAAAGATTTAAACTTGATAAAATAGTTTTGTTATCACAGGAGTTAAATCTGAATTGGATCTCAATTTATGTTCTGGAGACGACTACTTGATTGCTAAAGTGTACAAAATGTTAGTTGAATCTGGAAGGTGAACATGTCAAAGACTGTAGGGTAAAATAGGTGAAAAATTTTGGATATAACAATGCTAGATAAATGGGAGAATTTATGGACTTATGGATTAAAATTTATTTTGAATTATAGCTTAAAATAATTTTTTAGAAAATGAGGCACTGTTGGTATTTGACTCCAGACAGGTTAGCGAAAATGTATACAGGGACTTCTAACAAGTGTTGGAAATGTAATCAAAATCCAGGTACATTTTACCTTATGTGGTGGTCTTGCAAATATGTGAAAACATTCTGGATAAATATAATAATGACAATGCAGAAAATATTTAAGATACAAATATTAATGAAACCTGAAGTTTTTCTTTTAGGTATTATGAATAAACCAATCCAAAAACAATTTGAGATGTTATTTCTTTACATGGTGACCACTGCAAGGAAAAGAGATGCTGACTGTGGAAGAATGGATTTTAAAACTGACTGTAGTACCGTAGCAGAGATGGCAAAACCAACTGCTTTGATTTGATACAAAAGACTAGACAAGAGATTGGAAGCCACTTGTGTACTTTATATGAGTTAAATACAATAACAGATAGATAACAGAGGGATTTGAAGATTAGTATAATATTCAGGGAAAAAACCTGTGACTGTTTTTTTTACGTCTTTAATATATATACATTATATTTGATTATTAAATAAAAATCCCATCTGAAATATTTATATATAAACATATATTACATATTTTTCTCATTAAATAAGAATGAGAAAGCTTATTAGTTGTAGAGCCGTTATGTAAGGGGAGGAGAATTTATTGGGTTTTTTTAAATTATATTTTATTTCCAGCATTCAGCTAGGGTGGATTTTTTTTTTGTATGCTTAATGTTAGACTTATTTGCTGTTTGGGTCATTTTTTTACCTCTTTTTTGTACTTTTTTTTTTAACTGTTGGATGTATGTTTTCCTGTTTTCTCTGTTTTTGCATTTTATTCTTGTCGATGAAACATAATATATATACAGTACAGTATGTAAATAAACTGGGTTGTAATTAACTTTGAGAGGGTTTGTTGTAACTTTGAATGATCACTAAGCGACTGATCATAAGTCAAGGACTACCTATAGACAGTCTAAAATATATGCTCCATTATTAAACTAGACATGTCTTTCTCTAGGATTCTGTGTCTTCTTTAATGAATCACAGGTTCTATATTTGTGCTCTCATGTGCTTCACAACACCTCTTCCCAATCAAATCTAAAGCACTGCACACTTTGTTATTTATTTTATCCATTTATTTGATAGTTTATTTTGGAGTTGTGCAACAGGATAAATCAAAATCTTTTTCCATTTGCAGCCACTGCTCTGAGAAAACAGATGTTTCAGGAAAACTGCCTTTATGGGAGAACTTCAAAAAGGAACTACAAATTTCAATAACTACCAGAGACTCCTGTTCAAAAAGATTTGTGGGCTGGTAGTGTGCCATTGTCCTTAAAATAAATGAAAGAAAAGAAAAGTTAATGGGCAATGTATTATTGCTCTGCACAGTCTGATTAGCAAGCCTGTTTGTTCAGATGATGTAACGCGTTCAGCATGGGATGTCATTGTTTAATTAAGATGCAATTGGATATTTTACCATGGAAAACATGGTCGAATTTCTTTCTTACTGTATAGTTTGACCTAAGGAATTAAAAAAGTACCTGCCATTAAGCTACATTTGGTCATCCTGAAGCCATAGAAACTCTCAGAATAAAAGGCTTTTGATCTTTTCAAATTAAACTGATACTTCATATTGTGCTAGATTGGCAGTGCTTATATTAATCTTCAGATATGAAGCAGGTTTTATCTTAACTATCTGTGAAAAATGAAACCACTTTAAATATAAAAGATGACTTTGATAAACATGTTTAAAAGTGATGTTTTTGTGATTTTAAAAAGGAAGAGTTTTTTTATTAGTATTAAAGAACAATTATATCCTTGCCAGAAATTGGCCATAAGTACAATTCTTTTGGCAGACAAGAAGGCCCATTATTGGGTAACATTTATGGATTGTCTTTTTAGAATTGATGCTCCACTAGTGGTGCTAGTGGGGGAAAAAACGAATATAAAAGAGGTATGTTGGGAGCAGCCGTGGATTTGTAAGAGTTTGCAGAGTTTCCTTTTTTCCAAGCATATCCACAATGTTGCCCCCAAATTATGGTAATTGTGGAGCCGGTGTTATTATTCCCCCACTAGAATTAGTAAAAAGGAAAATGCAGTATTATTTTCCCCCAATGATAAGAGTGATGCATTTGACAAAATTCCACATAAATATTTTCTTCATTATTGGTAGTGATTAAAAATATTTTTGTATTAATTAATAAAGAGTCAGTTTGGGGAACATGAGTTCTAGAAAAGTTGACTTTGGGCTACTCAGTCTTTTAGTACAATCCATCTCACAGGACAATTGTTCTGGGGAAAATAGGAGGCAAGAACATTATGTGTACTGCCTTGAGTTGGATAAATTAAAGGTGGGATATAAATATAATAATCATTGTATCAGGCCTCCTAATTCATTTTTACTAATTATTTTATTTGATTCCTGAATTAAAATATATCCCCAAAGTGCAGTTTGAATCCTATTTGGAAACCGTTGCTATCAAACTTTTCCACTGAAACTCAACTCACATAGAAATATTCAGGAATGAACATAAAACATTTTAAAACATCTTAATCTTCTTTTACATTATCAAACCCCTAGTACAAGGACAGCACAGAAAACAGATCCTATATCTTCTGCCATCTTTAGATCCCATTTCTCTACTGTTTGTCTGAATCTTTTCAACTAGGTCTTGCATTCTCTGCATCTCTAGACCCCAGGTGACTTGTCTCAACTGTTTTTCAACTGCCATGGAATACAAGTGCATCATTTGAAGATCAGTTGATGTCATCACTGACAGTGGGGTTTGGAACATAACAAAGCCCATCTTTAAAAGTCAAAAGGCTGTTAGTTCCTCCCATGCAATCAGTTAGGTATTTTGGATTCCCACTCCTTACAAATTCATTATATTTGTGGGAGAACACTCTCCTTATTGTTTTAATAGGGCTGTTTCCTCTTGAAAGATACAACTAATTAATACAATTGTCTTCAGATCGGATTATAAAGATTAAAACCACTAGACACTATCAGTTTTTGAGTACTATAAATATTGAATTTTATGGGACGGTTCCTCTTAAATACCACCTGTCTATCCAAGTAGAGGATCAGCTTTTCCATTACTGGCGATCGTCACCTTACTACTGTAACTGAATCTGGAATTACGCTCGCAAATCATGCATTAAGAGATCATCACGTGACAGATCCAATTTTATGACACTTTTTTGTGGTGGTGTTTAAATTGTTATGGTTGTTAAGCAAACTCATTTTCTGCAATAGATGTTTTTTGCCATATTTTTTTTTTGGGGCTGAAAGTAAATGCTGGTTTCTGGGGGCGGAAATGTCGCAAATTGTGGTGATATGACCATGGGATACTGCAAACAGCCATAAATGTGGGCTGGTTGCCAAGAACCCAATACAGGTAGATCTCGACTTACGATCACAATTGAGCCCAAAATTTCTGATGCCAAGTGAGACAAGTGAATTTTGCCCCATTTTTCGACCTTTCCTGTCACAGTTGTTAAGTGAATCACTGCAATTGTTAAGTTAGTAACACAGTTATTAAGTGAATCTGGCTTCCCCATTGCATTTGCTTGTCTGAAGTTTGCCAAGGGTGTTCACCGGGACATTGCAAATGTCATAAATATGAGTTGAATCTAGGTCCTAACTATCTTTTTTGGGATTAGTTGTGTCTTTGGTTACTAAGTGACTGATCATAAGTCAAGACTACCCGTACTCAGAATGAAGCAGCCATCTTGAGTGACAGAGACTGAGGAGCACAAAATAGGAGCAGAGTGTTGAAAGTCAGAAATTCATCTGACTCTATTTGATGAGGATAAACTGGAGGGAATGACTTACATTTCATGAGCTAATTGGAGTTAGTTGGATTTTTATTGATCTGATGCATGTAACTGAAAGAAAGCTCTCATGTAGTTTTGTGACTGTAAAGTGGTTTTGAAACTGGGGCTTTCCCCCCCCCTTCATATATAATGCTTGAGTAATTGCTAAATCTTGTAAAATATTATTCCAAATGAACTTTAAAGTATGTTTGTTAAGAGAAAGTTGAAAATGCACTAGAATTTGTTGATTTTAGAAATATTTTTAAAGA